CATCTACAATTAAATAGTGGATTGCTGCTTCATGAGGTTGGCGGGGGCAATGATGGCTTCTGTTAGCACATGGTTATATAGATTCAGGGTTAATCACCCTTGTGGGCAAAAAATGCTAAAATTAGCTGCCAAATGGATGTGTTTATCATATGAGCTACAATGACTACTTGGAGAAATCCCTACAGGTTTGAAAACAATAATAATCAAAATTGTATTTCTTAGCCATGGATCTTAGAGTATCTTTTACATATAATGGAATCAAACGAACCAAATCTAAAATATGCTTTGTTCATATGCCATATGGTCGTTGTCTTGCCAAGCACTCTGTTTGCCTGCCAGAGCAGACTCCTGTGTTCTTCTTTCCTTGAATCCTGCCCTTCACACTAACAAAAAAAAATTGCTGCGTGACCCCCGTAGTCATATGCTCACCATTCCCTTTTCCCCTTCATCCCTAAATACTTTTCCAGCATTTAAGCAAACTTCAAACACCCAAAAAGAGGTAAAATGAAGTAAAAGCCTTTGTGCACTACTGCTTTGAAGGAGCTTTTTGAATTTAGCCACAGCTGTACTTAGCTTAATTCAGGGCTTCAGCCCCTTCCTACCAGCCACTCAAAAACATACTGGCTGCTCTAAGGGATTTAAATTCCAAAGATGGACAGATTTTATTATGGGGTGGGGATAGAGCAGTATCTGGGTCTCTTATGGTTTTGGGTTCAGGTCCCATGTGTCACATGGATAGCCTGTTTCCAGAGCTCTGGGGAGAGGTGCTGTGTGTTGCCTCATATGTGTATTTTTAGCAGAAGGCTGTTTCCTGACCCCATACAGTGAGCACCTGTGTGGTGTTATGCTGCCTGTCCCAAGGTATTAAGTAACCCACAGGCATTTTGAAATAGATAATGATAATACGATTTCTCTCGTGATAGTGTTTGGGTTTTTTCATTCTCCTGCTTGTTGTGAAATCTGTAGGCTGATAATTTCAATGGGAGTTATGAGAGGAGAGGAAAAACTCCCAGCTAGCCCTGGAAATGCATGGGATCATCGTAGAGATGGGTAAACACTCCCTATTGCAGTCCATCTTAACAAAGACTTCGAAAAAAGCCCGTCATCTCAGCAAGTTCAACTTTTACCCTTTCCTTGCACTGTTCTCCCTCTCAGCAGTCTCTATCCCTCTGCTGGGGTTTTGATAGATTATCATTTCTGAGAGACAGGGATGTTGCTTTGCTAAGTTCAGCTTCAGAGACTTGTTGGGAGGGGAAGTAGATGAGACAGGAGGAAAACAGAGCAGTGACACAGAGCTCCTAAATGTCAGTTCTTTTTGCCCATGGTGTTTCATCAATACTGGAGCAAGGGATGTATAATATAAGATTACAGTTTCACACCCTATTTCCAGTTCTCTACCAGACTGAGCTGTAACTGTCAAAATTGTGGTTTTGTTTACATCTTCATAATAAATTAGATAATTAAAAGTGTATGGCTTTAAAGCACTTCTGTGCCTTTTTTCTGCAGTCAGGTTATAGATGAAGCTGTCTGTTTTACTAGCTAGTCTCATAATTACCAAGTGGATGCAATGTCTTCAAAATTGCAATTCCATCTGAGAATATTTTATTATTGGTTGCTGCAAGAAACATCTGGAGAGTGCTTAAAGCTCTTGTGTGTTTAGAACATTTCAAAGACATGGTTTTATCAGACCCTTGTATTTTGTCCCTTTCCTCTTTCCTCTTCATATGGCCAGAAGAGCTAATAGAGACTTTCTTAAGCCTGGTAAGGTGATTCTACATACAAAATTCTTTGGATAGTACAAAGTTGGGGGTTTTGTTGTCTGCGTGGTCAGCCTGAAATAGATAATGTTCTTTGATACATTTTTGGACATATCTTCTCTAGATGGGTCAGTGTTATTTCTTTCTGCTCCTAGGCAAATTAATAAACCAAATTTAAAAGTGCAGAGGGAAGCAGGCAGCTGGCTGATTCAAAGGGAGAGGCTATGTTTTTCATCACCACCCTTTCAAAGCCTCTCTGAATCAAAAGAACCATTGGATTGCGAAGGCAAGACCTATGCCACACCAGAAGCTCCCAGTTCAGCAATTTTCCCAGGGTAAAATTATAACTCATGTTTCCTCAGCACAGGCTGCAACTGGCAGCGTTCCTTCTACTTCTAAGGGTGAAATTGCTGGGGGGGGAACAGACATCTAATGTGCCTCTAGAAGTTTTACGATGGGTGTTAGCCTCCTTTTGTGGAAAGGTAGATGTTCTTCTGGAACATACCCAAGGGCAGGTGCTATTCAAACTGGAGTATAAATTGACTTCAAGTAAGGCAGTACAGGCTTATTTTTGTTCAGTTTGTGAGTCAAATCTAAAGAAGAAAAAGCCATTTCACAAATTGTGACAGTTCATGACAACGCTCCAGTTATCCCACTGAAGTCTACCTTTTTATGGGTCTTTAAAATCTTCAGATGCAACTGCAATTCAAGACATTAATCTTTATTCGGGTACTGCTGATAGGATCTTACCTTGCAAACAAAACAGTCAGATTTTAGCAATGCTTGTTTTCTAGTGTTGCTTCTCACCAGAAGATTATTGGACAAATTGCAAACTTGGTCCAAGAAGAAAGTTACCTGTTGGTTTCTTTCCCACTCAAATCTGAACACCATTTGTAAGGATTTGTTTAACTTTACATTCAAATAAACCAGCATGGTTCTGGCAAACAGAAGTCCTTTCCTTCTAAACCCAGGAGGGAGTGTTTTTTTCTTTTTCCTTGTCCTTTTCTTATGTAAAAACTGTTACAAAGTATGTGGAGTGCCTGCTAGAAGTGGATAAAAGGCAACAGCACTTGAATGAAAAGTCTGACTAAAAATTACATTATTAATATATCTCAACCTAGAAGTAGCTATCTGCGAGCAGTTGGAAGATGGATTCCAGTGTTCCCCTGTTCCATTGCATATCTGTTCCTGGTCCAAACCCCATGTACTTGCATGGAGTGGAGGTGTCTGTCACACTCCTGGCTTCACTGGTGCAGGAGATGAGCTGGGAGATTCTCCATCCCTTAACAGAGGCAATGGGAGCTGTTGATTGCTCTGTGCTGGGCTATTCCCAGAGACTGGGGAGAGCTGACCAAGTGGCTGCTTCATTCAGGGAGGAGGTGTAGATTCTGAATGGAGCCCCTGAGTACGTAGCTATGTTATCCGCAAAGGAGCTGGCAGGCCGCATCTCTTGCAGCAGGGATGAAATGGTCCAAGATATTTGGATCGATGCTGCTCGCTGTAATGAATGAAGCCTTGTATGGAGGGGATCTAGTCTGTCATCTCTGCCCTTTTTGTGCTTGTTTTCCTGTGAAGTACAGGTAAATTCTGCTACCCGATGTTTGATAGAAGTACGAGAAGAAAAGCGACCTATTTTCCAGATTTAAAGGAAAGTAAATGAAACTGTCCTCAGGGCAGCAGAAGCAAAGACTTTTGTGTCAAGCTGTAGTGTTGTGGGCAGGACTGCCAGGCTGCTAAAGGCTCTTCAGACCTGGCAGCCTTTCCCAGGGACTGTTCATCTTTTAACAGCATTTTTGGTTTGGTTTTTTTTGTTAGTTTTTTTTGAGTGGTTGGTTGGGTTTTTTTAAGTGTCTACAATAATTGCAACCTCTCTCTGCTCAGACCAGGGGATCTCTTAGAACTTACTGGCTTGTTTCTGCAGTATTTGACAAGATTCCCTTTTGCATGTGAGAATAAAGAAGTCTGAGTGAAGGTCACTGAGGCACTTCTGCTATATACTTCATGAAATATTTTGAACTGGGCACGTCCAGTTAGCGAAGGCTCAGGCTGGGGAGTTATGCTTTTGTTTGGTCACTCCTAACTCACTTTTATTGCTAATTGAGTAGAAGCTGGTGCAGAACAGACAAGCTGTTGGTAGAGTGAGTGTCCTGAAATGCTGGCTATCCAGTCTGCTCCTGTCATAAGACACCATTAGAAGCATCACAGCAGGTCTGTTGACCTTTGGTTCGATGTCCTCCTGCATCTAAACCATGTCCTCCAGCATAGTTAGGGGATCTTTTTGCTTGCTGCATCCTGGGTTAAACACCCTGTGATTATACAGTGTTAGGTGGGCAGTGGTGTGCTGTGCAGTAATTGAGAGCAGCTTTCAAATCCGGTTTTGCTTGTGAATTAAATGGGTGCTTTCACTGAGTGAGAATCAAATCAGCACATCTGAAAGCTGTAGAAGTTGTCTCCTTCCATTGAGAGAGCAAAAGTGGCTTGTGGAAGCGTGTGTATTTGGGGATAGTGAATCTGGGCTGGACCCCCAAGTTACATGTGGTTTTTGTGGGTTTTTTTAATAGTACACTGTGATGGATGTATTCCAAAGATCCTGCTTGTGTTATGGGCTTAAGTTAAGACTTGCTTGACCCAAGCATAGAAGGGATGCTCAGCAAGAAATAGGCAGGCAGTGCAGAAGAACAGAACTTTACTTGCAGGACCTGAGTATAATAAATGACAACATTTGGAATGTCCTCAGCACTGCTTAACCAAACAAACAAGGGGCTGAGTTAATCTTCCAGTAAGAGTACAAACTTATATCTTAAGGGAGGTATTAAACTTTTGTCTGCAGTTTTGACGCTTAGGGAGATCTTCAGAGAAGTTTATAAGCATTAGAGAAGGTACATCCTGTCTCTGTAAACTTGACTTTTTCCACTTTTTTGAGCTCACTTTTACTGCTGCACTGATATAAGTACAGGTCTTCATTTGACTCCTGCCATTATCCATTAATTCTTTTTCTCCAGTTAGGTCTCAGTGACTAGTTTCTGTTGGTATGGTTAGAGCTGTTCTGCTGAAGTTAGCTGTGTGCTATAGACTTGGCTACTGGACACTGGAATTAAAGTGTCTCTAAGCTCTTGTCCAAGGGTGGTTTTTTACTGTCATGCATCTCCAGGTAGGCAACTTTCTCCATCCAGCACAAATACCTCACTTCCTTCAGCCCCTTGCCTCGCATTTGGTTCTCTGCACCTGTGTCATTTATTCTAGGTCCCGATCTGCTCTGAAATCCCAGCAAGGCTCATTTTACCAAGGAAATGCAACCACAGTCTCTCCAGCACTTGCAGCACCTAGCGAGTGTATGTGCTCAGCAGTGCCAGCATCTCAAGGAGGAGAAGGCTGTGAGCAGCCAACATTTGGGATGTGCAGCAAGGGACCCCTATCTTGATGGGCCAGATCAGCACTCCACCCCAGAGCCAGTGCTTCAGGGACAAGGAGAATGTACCAGTTAAAATTGTCCCATCAGGTAAGTGCTTCAGTCACCATTGCTGTAGCCACTCTGGTGTGACAAGAGGTGCATTTATCAACTTTGTAGGCTTGATCTGCATTTGGACTATTGCAGGATACAGAGAGCAGCCTAACACTGTTACTGACACCTCCAGGAAAGGGTTTCAGCCAAGGTTTTGTTTCATGCTGACCTATACCTTATATGTCAGCAATGATGGACCCCTCTGGGTATCTCTGTCCCCTCTCTCAAGCAGCCTTGTGGCATCCACCTTTTTCTAAAATGCATTGCTGTATGTATTTCTGCAAATAATACTGAGTGCTGCAAGCATGGCACTTGTGGTGAGAGGATTGTGCAGCTGCACGGCATAGTTGCAGGTCTTCTTCTGCCCTTAGGTGCCTCAGCATATCCAAAAAACCTTCCAACTTCTCAAGCTCTCCATTGTATTTGACTGTCTTGTATAGGATAATTTGACCTTCTGTCATATGTTGAAAGACATTCAGAGTTTAAAATGAGGCTTTTCTTTCAGAGATCTAAAATATTAATTCTAGTACTATCGTTGAGTCTCAGGGAACCTGGTATCTCGGCTTGCTGTGCCACTCAGTTGCAGCTGATTGTGCTTTGGGCCCATTTCTCCTGTGACACTCAAACACAATTGTTCTGGAGTTTTGCCTTATGAACATAATTCCTAATGTTCAGACTCAGCAATCCTAAACCTTGCAGCTGCAAGAGGAAGGCAGTGGGATTATATTGATGAAAGGCAAAACATGACAGTGCAATCGGCATATTTTCGCTGGGGAAAACAATGGGCTGTTTCTTTGTTTTGCAGACCCAGTGGCAGCCATAAAGCCCAGCCATGTCCACAGGGAGCTACCAGCCACTGGTGTAATGGTGAAGAAACAGAAGAAAAGACGTGAATTGCTCACGTGTAAAGACTTTTTGACAAAGATCTGGGCAACTTCTTTGTGCTTCTGGGCTCTTCAGAATGAAGGTGAAGAGAAAGCACCGTGATGGCATGCACACCTTGAGACCAAAATGCAGTTTGTATGCTCTGTGTTGTGCACGGGGTCATCTTTGACCATCTTGCAGGTCTCTGTCTGAGGGGCCAGCACAACCTGGTGTCATCTGTGGATGCAGAGTACCAGGGCCATAGCCAGAAAATATGATGTGAGGACATCACCAACCCACAGAGATGCCCATGGTGGCAGTTTCCCCTTCCAGCAGGACAAGCAACTGGGCTTCTTGGACACATAGTCTCTGTATATCTGCCTGCTTGCTACACCTTCCAGAAGTGCTGTTTGTACTGTACTGATATTGTTTATGTTGAATAAATGCTTTCTCCAGCTTCTTTGTTGTGGCAACTGTTTTTGCTGAATTGAAAAAAGTGGGGGGTACTTGTTTAAGCATTGTGGTAAGATGTGACCATGATTATATTTTTAATCTTTAATGAAATGTTTGTTTTGAAAAAGTGTATCTTCAAAATGGGGACACTTGTGCAGGAGCCAAATCTGACAGTAGTCCTAATGTTCCTGGTTTGGATGAGGGTCTTGAGATGGGCTTTCCCCATCCCACAAGCATCAGCCTGCTGTTTATTTCAGAGTGCAGGTGCATAGCTGTTCATGATACTTGAGCGATTTCTGCTTTGTACTGGAGGAAAAGAGATTTGTCACCAACTTCTAAAGTTTTTTTGCTGTTTGGATTCATTCCCTATACAGTGGGATGTGTGTGTGTTCAGAGTTGACTCTTCTGCTGGAGGTGGCCGATGTGGATGTGCTAACAGCTTTTTCCAGCTCTTCTGGGCACCAAGCTTTTGTAAGGAGAGACATCTCTCCAATGGCTTTCTGTTGTGAAAAAAGGCTAATGAACATAGGCTGATTTGATGCTTTAAAATAAACTATTGCACGATTATTTTTCTAATGTCTAGAAACAACAGGACAAGCTTGTCCTCACCTCCCCTCAGAAAAATCCAAGAGAGTCTGAAATACATAAATTTGAGTTTCTCAGCAGAAATAATTGCTTGGGCTGTGACAGGGAATATCCAATAACTAATACTGAGTAGCATATATACTCTTGCTTGAGCTGGGCTTTCTCACAGCAGGGAAGATGTTGGCTATAATAACCCCAGCCAGCAGTGTTTTGACCTGCAACCTAAAATGATCCCCACTTCCAGTGAGTCAGGTAGAATGTACTTGAATGTCAGTTCTTCTGTGTATGAGCTCAGGTTGTCTTGTAATGGCATGGTTTTTGTCAAGGTTTCAGACTTAAGAGGGGAACTGAGATGACTTTACTCAAGACCACAGAGTGTAAATAATATTTCTGACAACAGTGCTAATATTTTGAGGGGAAGAGTAAGTCTCCTGTCTCTTAAATTTTGTACACTTAGGACACTGTAATGACTCACATTCTTCAGATATCTCTTATTTCTTCCACTTGCTACCAGAAAATTGATATGGTTCCTATATTATTCTTGCTCGGTAGACCAGTTGCGTGAGTGCACATCTCAGCCCTACAACTACTGTGTTTTTTCAACCCAGGTGTAAAGGCTTATTCTTTAACAATATTATTGAATGGAGTTAAGGAGAAGATGGTATAGAAGAAACAGGCAGGGAGGAGAAGAGATCTAAAAGCTCTCCTCAATGACCCTCAGTCCCCTTTGGAAGGAAAACTTCTAAATCATACAGATTTTAGTAAATACTAGGAGGAGTAGTTCAGGGAGGGCTGCTTTTGCTTCTGTTGAGGCTATAAGAGGGCTTGCCTAGAGCAGAAAACGTGAAGCAGGTTCAGATATACCCAAAAGACCTGTGCCTGTGAACTACTTGTTGTGGAAAGACTCCTTCAAATATCATCAAGAAAGTGGACGAGCCCCAAACTGTGTTAATAGAGCAGTGTTTCTGATTGCTGAACCAACACTGAAAAGTTTTATACAGCCTAAATGCCTTTAACCTAGCACACAGATTTTGGCCCTTTTGAGTACATAGTTTCAGTAATACATTAAATCTGAGTGGAAATGGGAACTAATTTTTATGAGAAGCTGTTGTGGGGGGGATCATCTTTGAATACTAAGAATGATAAATGTTTTACAGGGTATTTGTAGTATTTTGGTTCATGGGAACTGTTGTAAAACTGACAATTTCCTGTTCCTACTTCATTTTTTTTTCTTGTAGGATAAATACTAAAATATTTGAGAAGAAAAGCTATCAAGTGACAGGCTGTTGACAGGTCAGGAAGGTCACTGGCCATCCAGCCACTGCAGGTGCTAGCCCTACTTTGTGTCCCACTCATGAACAAAGCTGATGCAGTTCCTGAGGCAGACAACAGCCTCTGGGATCTCCCATGTGGGAACAGCCGTGGCTGAGCTCTGAACCCAATTCTGGGTGCATGTCTCACCTGCCTGATCTCAAGAAAGGGTTCTGAAGAGCTTTTTGATTCTTTTTGTTGTCAACTGTTCTAGATAGCTTAGTAGATCCCACTGAGTTTAGTTTCTATGACTTCCTTCTCTCCTCCTGTAGTTCTTTCTAAGGAATTATATTTGTAGTCACATTAGGTGGTAGAAGATTAATAATTTACCAGCAATACCTTGTTATTACCACTTTTTACCAAAACTTGTTCACTTCCATTTTTGCAGTAATCCGATGCAAGGCACGTGTTTCTTCAGAGAGACTGTTTGTCCCTGTGTTATCCTTTCCACAGCTGAACTAAACAGTGATTTTAACTAATGCAATGATATAGCTTTGGTCTGTTAAATGCCGTACCCATTGGATGGTGACCTTCTGTGATATTGCATTGTGCCACATTAAAAAACCTGGGTTTTTTTAAAGTACCTGGTTCTCCGAATCCCATTTCTGCTTTAATTTCTCTGGGGTAACTGCAGTAGAAATACCATTGCCTAATTTCAAAGTGGTCTCCAAAAGAGTAGTGAACTGGTTTTATCCAGGGAAATACGCTTTGTGAGCTAAGACTCGAGCAATCTTAGCATTATTGTGCTTAATAACTAAACATGGAGAAGATGAGCATTGTTTCATGAGATGCAATAAATGCAGGTAACTTGAAGAGGAAATGTTGAAAAGGAGCAGGCTGAAATAAGAGAGCAAATGGTTTTATTATAAAGCACTTTTATTTCTTGGGAGTTTAAGTAGGCAAACTGTGTAAATGGCAGATTGGTTCCAACTTGGGTTTGGAAACTGGTTCCCTTTTCTTATGTTTTATGGAGCTTTTTGCCTTGTAAAATGCCCACAGTCCTCTGACCTATCTCCCATCCTGGCAGTGGTGTTCATACTACACATTCTTCTACTGCTTTGTACAGCCAGTGCTATCGCAGCTATGCTGAATGAGGTCCCAGCCTAACTACAATATTAACCCTGCAAATCTGTTCATTTTCTCTTGAGCAGCCCCAGGCAGGGTATACAGGAGAATGTGTCCAATTGAAAAACTATTACAGACTCGGTGGTGCTGCAGTGTGTTAAATTGCAAGAGAGCTGTGGTTTTTCTGCCAGAGAGGATCCTGCTAAGGGAGATGGTGGTGTCTGTCTCATGCAAGTTACAGAATTTGTTTTTCATTTTAGTCTCAGCTTTCATTTGTGATTTTATCTTTGTTTTTGCCAAACCATTTGTCTGCTTTTAAGCACTGAAATGTGTTCCTCAGACCTGCTGCTTTCCTCCTGCTAATTGTCCAGCACATTCTCTCCCCCCCACCCCCAATTTGTATCAGTCCTTGCCTTCTTACTTTCACCTTTCCAGTTGTTGTTTTTCAATTTTTTCTTCATTATTTTACTAAATACCGTACTGCAGATCAGTAGCATCTTGGGTGGTGGTTGTACCACATAGCATTTGTAGCAGACATTAGTTTTGCATAGCGTGTGTACCTTATTTTGTCTGGACTTGTCTTCTTTGCGCTGCAGGCACCTCCTCAAGCAATTGTAGTGATTAAGCCTGGTATTTCTGCAGATTTATATTAACTTCTGCTTGTAAAGAAACAGAAGAAACCCAACCCTTCCCCCTCCCCCAAATCTAAACTAGATGTTTTTCTTCATTCCCTTCGTTTTTATCAGTGTTAGACCTTACCTTGCTTTTGTGTATGAGAGAAAATTAGTTAAGTACCTTGTGGTTTATAGATGCCTTTTGTTACATATTACTTGGATTTATTGTGCAACGTTGGCCTGTAAATCATATCAGTCAGACATTTTCCTGGCTCTTGTTGCCTTTATGGTTTGAGTCTTTTAGCGGCCGTGAAAAATGGAGAAATGATGTTTTTGGCGGCGGCGGACTTCGCTAGTCCGAGTGCCGCGTAACTCTCTCTCACGGCAGCGCTCCGCTTTGGCGAGGTTTGCTCTGCCTGGCTCTGAGGAGATGTTTACAAGGAATCCATTTCTTTGTGCAGCTGAAAGACAGTGTTGAAAGAACAAAGAGAGTTTTGTGATGAAGTGTATCTGACTTCTCGCTGCTTTGCTTACCTTTTAAATGTAAAACTTAGTCATTTGCAAGGGCTTTTAGTTCTCAGGGCATCCCTATAAGATTCCACCCCGTACGGGGCTTTCCTTCAGTCGAGAGCGGGGCTGTCTCAAAACCGCTCTCGAATGCATTTCTATTTTAATCCCCAACTTTGCCTGCCGCCTGCCTTCCTGGCTCCAGCTCACCGCCCTGCCCTGCCCCACCCGCCGCGCAGGCGGCCGCTGCTCCGTGCTGGCGGTGCGGCGCTTCCTTTGTGACCAAAACTTGGTTTCACCAGCAGAGCATCGGCTCCCGTTCCGCGCTCGGAGCTCGCCGGCCTCGGGAAGCCGCTCAGACCTGCAGCCTATGTGGGGCACGCGGGGGCAGCTGTCGCCATACGTGTAACTTTTAAATGGAAAATGTCTCTCTCAAAGGCTGTCGATGTCCAGTGGTCTGCAGTCCATGAGCAGTTGACTAGTCCAGGTGTTTCTGCTTCTGTTCCCGTGCTATGTGAATTGGGAATTCGAGAGAAGAGTGTGCAGGATGGAGGAGTTGAGGGTTTGTATTTTTGTTCTGGTGGTATGAGAGTGACAGAGGGCTTGGGAAGGAACGGAAAGTCTACCTGGGGTTGTCTTAATTAAGGAAAATATTGTTCTTGGTCTTTTTGTCTGCAGCTCTTTCTGGCGGGGTCTTTATCAACTCTTCAAAATGAGAATGACGTTTTTCAATGGTATGGATTGACTGTCACGAATACTATTCAGGAAAAACTTGTTTTATTGAATGTGATTTCTGTTTTGTGAGTTTTATGAGTGCATTTTGCCCCACTTATTTAAAATGTAGCGAGTTAAAACTCTTAGAGCTAGATTCATTTTAAAAACTGCCAAGTACTTGTCTGTGCTTTACTGAGATAAAAGTCATAATCTAAGACTACGAGACAGTGCTATTGATTCAAGACTGTGGGGTTCTGTGAGGTTTTTAAGGAGATCGTTAACCCAGGTCTATCTCTTCACAGGACAGTCGGCCCAATATGTCAAGACCTCTGATCACTAGATCCCCTGCATCTCCATTGAACAATCAAGGCATCCCCACTCCAGCACAGCTCACAAAATCCAACGCACCAGTTCACATTGATGTGGGTGGGCACATGTATACCAGCAGCTTGGCCACGCTTACAAAATATCCCGATTCCAGGTAACTTTAAAAAGCTTCTTCTGCATGTCTTTGGCAACTCCTTTTCTTCCATTTCATGCTGGCATGTCCTGGGGTTGTCTCAGAATGATGAATTTAGCTCCTTTTGTTTCAAAATTAAATTAGCTTTCTTTGTTCGTAGGCAGTTAGAGACTGACTTTTCCTTCCCTGCGCCGCTGCGTTTCCAACAAATGGCACTTCTGCAAATCCCTTTGTGTATGTACTAAAATAAAGCTGATAGTAAAGAGCACTTACTTTCTACTACCTAGGATTCTGGTTTTATGCCAGGACACCCATTCTGTGGTTTGTTACATTCAAAAACTGTAGTGATAATGCATTTAAGCCCAAAGGTGGGGGTGTTGGGGTATTTGTTTTGTTTCTTTTGGAGCAGTAACCGCTCTCCTGCACTGTCAGCATGTAATCTCTGATGTGTCACTTGAGGTGAAGGCAAGGTTGAATGTAATAAAATACAGCACAGTATTAACTGAATACTTTTTATGGAAGCTTGGGACTTCTCTTACCTCTCACGTACCTTTGAATGAAGTATTTGTGACTCTGGTAGCTTACTGGTATTAAGCAGCTAGAAAACTGCTGCACATGTAAGGAAATGGTGTATGTACAATAAAGAGTGCATCTTTGAGAAAACAACAGTGCATTGAACAGTGTGTGTGGATATTAGATGGTGGGGTGGCAGACAAACACTGTAGTGGTGCTGTAATTCTAAGAGTTGGTTATCAGATAGCAGGCGTTGATTCTGTCCACTGTATTAGTCTATACATTGCCCTTCACCGCCCAGTCCTGCTCTGGAGGGAAGGCAGTGTTACATTTGTGCTCTTTTCAGCATTTGCGGGGGAGGTTTTGAGTTTCTTGATCCCACAACTCTGACTTGCCTTTGCAAAGGGTACAAAGCATGCTTCATGGGATGTGATTTTGTTCAAAGCCTGGGTTTCACTGGTATTACTGCGTCTGCAGCATCGGCTCATAGTATTGAGTGGACTGAAGTAGTGCTCCTGGTAGACACTAGGAGCTGAAAGGGATAGAGGAAGAGAACAGTAAATACAGGTATATGGAAGAGAAACAGCTGAGTACATGGTCTTTCTTATGACAACATCCTCAAGGAAGGCCAGGCAGAGGGAAGTAAAAGAGAAGCCATGCCAAAGGCCAGATCTGCCAGGAGAGATTGAAGCAGCGTCTGGAAAAACTTGAACTGTTCTTCGAAAACCAAATCTGTCATTTTGGGGAATTTTTTTAGGAGTTCCTTGTGTTCAGCTACTACTAGTTGTGATTACTTAGTGGATTTTTTGGTAATTGGAGCAGTGATGGTGTCTGACAGAGTTGTCTGTGCAGTATGAGAGGCTGCTGCTTCAGTTTTCATGTCAAATTCGCAGAGACAGTATATTACTTCAAGTGAAGAAACACTAAAATGTCTTTCATAAGTGTGTATGGTGGCAGTGGAATTTAAGCTTAATATATTCTGTGTCCCATTGAGCCATTGTAGCACTTGAAAGTGAAAGCTATGCCTGTAGTATCAAAGCCAGTTTAATAAATTAAACATTTTAAAGCTCTTCAAACATAATTTAAAGAAAAACCAAACTCTGAGTTATAGTCATTCTGTTTCAAGTCGTTCTGACATGTGTTTGTGTTTCAGTTCTGACAGTGTCTTTTGAACCTCTTGATGAGTGAATATTTCCAGTGTAGCTGTTAGAACCTGGAATTCCCAGCCAATTCCAGAACTTGAGAGATTTTTTTTTTAACATTAGCAGCTTCAAAAGAGCAATTATTAAACTCATTTGAATGTCAAGACAATGGCATGAAGCAATATGCCAGAAATCATGATATAGTTGTTTGGAATTTGTCTGTGAGATTTTACCATAAAGTTGTTTTCCAGTGGGGTTTGGGATGAGGGGTGTATATATATATATTTATTTATATATAATGAGTACTAGGCAAAAATTGTCCAGTAATATTTGGACATTAATACAAATTGTTTCTTGGAGCCTGACCTGGTCAGTTTATATCTAGAGTCTAACGTTGTTTTACAAAGTTAAAACAAGGTTTTGGTCAACTTTGCTTGTATGTTTCTTTTTCTGCCCAATATCACATGTCTGAATGATACCTAAACTAAGTCAACACCTCATAGATATTTTTGGGCTAGTTGAAACCTCCTGAGACTTACTGTCATATGAAGTGTTGTCTATGAAAAATAAGGTCTGATTATCTTACCTGAAAGAGCACTGCTCCGGGGATGAGTCAAGGCATAGGTTGCAAGCTCCAGCATCTAACAGGTTGAGACATGAAAGTCATTAGGTTTCTGACTCGTATTACATGTAGTCTAAGGGCCAGAAGCCTAAAGTGAACCTTTCATCTATGGGCCAGGTACCAGAGTCATCTTTCTTTGTGAGATTGAAAGGGTGATATCCAAAACAGCAGCTTTGGAGTCATTATTACTTGCTGGTGTGAAGAAGACCTTTTCTGATAGAGCAGTCTCTGCTTTGGAGCAAGTATACTCTTCTTTCTCCTTTGGGCTCAATAGCAACTCATCTTGTACCGCTCTATTTTCTCCTTCCTGGATAGTAGAGTGGAAATTGGAGACATTACTTTAAAAGAGAGTTCCTTAAATGATATCAGGTGAAGACTTGTAGCTTGCAGGGCTCACTTTCCATAATTTTTCTGTTAGATCCCTCAACCTAGTTTGTGCCTTGAAATGCAAAATATGTACTGACAGGTAGATATATTTATTCCTCCAAAGAAACCCTGGTGTGACTGTAAAACTGTCTTGCTGCTGCTGCTGGATCCCTGCCCTTTGCTATGGAATGACCATTGAGGGCTTCTCTCAAATGCTTTTGTGATTGAAGAACCCAGGGAATTGGAGCGTATCTGTGGTTTGGTCAAAGGCTGACACAGTGAAGCAATCCAACAGACAAGCAGCTTATCTTGTTTTGAGTAATCCTAGAATTTTAAATTCTGAACCTGAAGTAATGCTTAAAAAAACCCTCAAAATAATTTAAAAATCCAGTAGCATATCATTTGAAAGAACCCAGTTATATTCCGGACCAAGGAGGACCTACTGTTTTCGCAAGGAAAATCCCATATGAATACTTTATCTCATCAACAGGCTTCAGGTTCTCCCAAGACACCAGTGAGACCATGCCTCAGACATTATGTCATGCAGCTGAATAATAAAATTTGCCAGACTTAGGCTTCAAGAAGAGGCAGTTTGAATCAGTATATCTACCAGGAAGACCTAATGTAAGGTCAGTCTGCTGAAATAAATAGCAGTTTTCTTTGAATGCCTGAGCAGGGGGCAGGTGTCCTTTTATGCAGCTCTCTCCACCGAGATTGTAGACCTTGGTGCATTTACCCATATACAGATTGTTCCTTCTGTTGTGAGTTACTGACTGACGGTTATTCATATGCCAGTGTGAATGGACCAAAAAAATTGTTTGTATTCTATGAGGGATTTTAGAGTTTTGGAATTTGTTCTGGTTTGTTCGGGGTCACACCTTCCTCTTCTCAACAGTCTTTGGTTTACTTTAAGTTCCCAGATCTTCAGGTTGATATTTGGCAACACACAGAGTTACCTGTTAAAGATTTGTGTGCACTAGTTTTTTATTATTATTATTACTTGGATTTTGCAAATGAAGTTTTTTTTTTTTTTAAAAAAAAAACACTTTATTTTCCACTGCCCAGGAAAAAAAAAATTATTCCAGGGAAGATGGATCCAAGATGAGGGTCTGCTAAAGGAGCTTTTCTCCCCTGAGAGCTGAGGCACATGCATACCATCCTGTTGTTCCGTATCATCACCAGAGAGTCTGATGAGAACAGGTTGAGGTGTTAGGATTTATGGTTATAAGCAGAGGAAGCACTGGCCTGTTAGTTCTGATACTTAAACCTGAGGAGCCTACTTTCCTTCCAATGCATTATCATCTTGCAGTATGATTGAACCCTTTGCTTGGAGCTGGCATTCCTACATCTTGCAACCTTAATGCTGCTTGTATGTGGCATCTACCAGAAGTTGTTGTGTATCAGGCTGTGGCAACCTCAACTGACTATCAGAACTAAACGGGAAGATGTTTAACTTTGATCATATGAGCATCAACTGTCTGATATCTCTGATATCAGCAATATCAGCATTGTTGTCTATCTCATGTGTTCAAAGCATTTGAACTTTTAATTAGTTCTGTCCAAGTCATCTGGTACAAATATTTGCATAACGCCATGGCATTGGATTGCCGCATCCTATATTCCCATTTAAAACATTGTATATATTTCTTTGTACAACCTTTTTGGATATCTGCTTGTGTTACTACATCTCCCATCTAGAGTTACTCCCTGCATATGAAGATGGATTCTTCTTATGCAGTATTTCACAATACTTCCAAATTTCTGCCCAGGGCTATTTCAGGTTTTCGTATGAACCAATCCATTCGTGTCCCAGTTTTCTTACCCAATCTTTACTCTCAGCCCTCAGGGAAATTAAATTTCACATACTTGGATCCAGTTAGGACACTGGCACTTTTTTTATTGGTAAGGGGTTTCTTTTGCATCAAGAGCACAGAATTATTTAGGAGAATACCCAGACTGTCCTTGGCCTTTTTTGACAGTTTGCAAGCACGACTTATACTTACACAACCTTCATAGGTTGTGTAGATAAACTTTCAAGGAGGTGGTATGAATCAGACAGGTTAACACTGCTTGCCTGTTTCAAAGCTCCAGTTTCTATTGTCTGTAGACTGTCCCCACTTCCAAAACAAGGCACTGGCATGGCCCTTAATTTGAACTTCTGCAGATTGCAACACCATGCTGGAGACTTCTGGCTCTGTAGGAGATGTGCTGCTGTAAGGGTGGTCTGCACTTTGTATAGGGCTCCTTCTGTAACACTTCCGTGAAAGCAACCCTGTCACAACTTTCCTACTCACCTTGGATAGTACCTCTCAAATTGCTGTAAGTTATGCTAATGACTTGAAGAAATAAACCCAAAATTTTCCAACTTAATGAACATC